CCAGGCAAATTTCATAATTAGCGTTGCATGGTCTTCGGCGGCTACTGTATTTTTTGCGCACATTGTAACCTAAAGGGCATGCCTGTGGAGGTCTTAGTTGTGGTTGGGCCTAGATCACTACAATCATCAGATCGAATCCCAGTTTAAAGGTAAAAGGCAAGAGTCAATAAAATGAGGGTTTATTGTGTACTGAACCCTGAGTTGCTGTCTCAGGTGGCAGTGGCCACTGGCGAAGCCAGGGCTGGTCCTGACTGCGTCCAGTCAGGCCTGTGAGTGTCGCCTGTGTGTTGTGTGGGGTGATGATGGCTGCCTTTACATGACTGTGAAGCGAGTTCAAGTATTCTGTCATTGGTGTGTTGCAATTGCCCGAGCGGATGTCGTCTGTAAAGGTCTTTGCTGCATCGGCCGAGGGGTGGTGTATTTAAGTGGCACTTAGGCACGCGTGCTTATTTGAACGCGCGTGAATGCGCGCGTATGTGCGCACGTATGTACGTAAGTTAATAAGTTGAGGTCAACTGTCGGGACCGCAGGAACGCCGAAGGACGGGGGACGCTGATGGCGCTATTATAGGTTAGCCAAAAGCAGCTGCGTGGTCAAGCCTCGGGGGCGCCAGTGAAGGAAAACATTGTAACAGTTGTTTGTGACGACGCGACTTTGGGGCAGCAAGCCTTGGAGAACGAAGGGGGGAAGGAGAGGCATTTTGGGTGTCCGCCACATGCCAAAAAATTTTATGTAGATCAATAAACAAGTCTTAACTTTTGCATATATGCCCATTTTACGATTAAGAAGTCATCTTGGCAAAAAATGTTTTCAGCATTTCTGTATTAGGCCAATACAGTGGCAGGGACTAATATGGCCGGTTATATGTGGTGGTTAAATAGCCCTCGGGGTAGGGAGGGCGGTATAATTAGTTACTGTGGTATCCACTCTCCTCACACATGCTAACAACAGCCTGTTGAGAACTTTGGGTCCAGCGAGCAGGAAAACACGGAGGAAGGGTTGTCCTCACGGTCAACGTACGTGGTTTTGAATGGCGTGTGTTCAGGTGGCATAGTATATACTAGTCTATTTGGCCAAGGTAGGCAGA